GAAAACATGTTTATAAATCAGTCAGTTTAATAGTCTTTTATGTTATATGGACCTTATAGACCTTAGGTTTAAAACACAAGTTAATGTATTTACCATGCATATACGAGTAGTCTTGCTTGAAGTCTTAAGTTTGATATTTACCTCACAAACTGATTTGTGAATTTATTAACAAATCTATACTTATAAAAGTCAAATACCATCATTCACTGACTCAACTGAGATGGTTAATGTTTGTTAATGTTTACTCAACTGTACTTTGTTAATGTTTACAATGACTGTTCACTGATCACTGTATCTCAAAAACTACTAACCCTAAGAACTCAGGAATTGGCATGGAGATTATAATTAGGCTGTACGTGTGCAATAAAAAGCTTTTTCAAGAAATTCCATCAGGGCTCTGCCCCAGTGGCCTCTTAAGTTCCCATGTTATTCTTATGGAGAAACGATTTGTGCACCTTATTCATTAACAGTTGTTGTTCATGAACAGATGAATATTTTTGAATTTTATACCATCAAACAAGGGAACAGTTGGTTGTATTTATTTGATTGAGTTGAAATTATTTGCATTTTTGTGGCTTGAAAATGATTGGTGAAATCGTAACAATCGTAACAGTAAATCAGTTCGTTTACTGTCGTAAAATGAACTTAAAAATCAACATGTACTCTATTTTGGATGTTTTTAAGATCTGTTTCTCAGTAACTAAATAACAGTAGGTATTTAATGTGTTCAGAATATCAATGTCAAAGGAACAATCGTTTATCTACATCGATTGCAAATAATCATTTACAATTGAGTTTCACCTAATATTTTAAGGGATGGCATCTGCCTTCTTCTTCCATCACTAGGCTATCTTATGATAATTTATAATGGGTGCTCAAGAGATCAGAAGTGCTTGATAAGTTTAATCACTTCCATCCCTAGGCTAATAAAAATGGCACAATCATGCAATTTCAGATGAGTATGTTGTTTTACAATCCCAGTTCACGTTTTTGACGGATTATGTAAAAACTACTAAGTTTTTAGGGGTTTCCATCGTAAAGAAATACATAAGATGAAGCAGCATATCGAGAAAGGACACTTTTATGTGAGTACATTCTGCTTGCTTAAAACATCATTGTCAATGTTAATGTTTAAAATGAAGAAGTTCTCTTGTAGTTTAATTAGCAAGAGATCACATATAACTTAAATTTTCGTGAGCGAAGCCACGACGGGGTAAGCTAGTGCATTTATAGTTTGCACAGATTAATGTCTATATTTTTTCAGTACTGCTCCCTAATTGGAAAGATATGTCTAAAATTACGTTTCAAACACAATGTTGTGTATTAACACAGACTATAGACCTCGAGAACTTAATAATGAAAACGCTAGCTAGAAGTAGGCTACTGTGGTAGTAGTGAATACTGTACTATGATGTATAGTCAATGTCTAAAGTCATTCCATATATAAGGGAAATACCTTAATTTTATGAGTTTTTTAAAGTTTAATTGAAAACTGAGGACTTGAACAAAGAATATTTTTGTGTAAACTAATTATACAACTATGCCAAGCGTTTAATGCTGTGTAAATATTTTCTCCTAAATTTAATTCGTGCTAGCTAGATGAGTACAACCCTCATTAAAGCTTTGTATTTTCACGAATAACAAAGTGCTTGACTGCTTCCACCGAGTACCTCGAGTATTTACACTTTAAGTTGTTTCAAACTTCATTCTCACTTGAGTTACGGATCTTTTACTGTTTACGAACCACTGATGTACAGCCGACGTCAGAACTGACGAGTCTCTAGTCGTATCACACTTATGATGATGATTTATTACACATTGCTCAACCATTAGTCATTTATTACACATTCGGCAGATGAATTCATATAAAACAATAATATGTCAATAACTGAAATCAAAACTCTACTCGTATGAAAGTTAAATTGAATACGTGTTCTCTATTTAGATATAGGTTTAATTTCGTTGGTTGCCTATTTATATTCCAATGTCCCGTAAACAATTACTTATAACTATGATAGTGGTTTAAATACCTTATTCTTGCAATCCAATTGTTGTCTTCACAACTAGTTTCAACCTGCTAGTAGGTCATCATCAGGTGAGTACAAGGATGATATTACTTCATATGAAGGTCGTCAGTAACAGGTTTTTTTTTACATTCACACAAACACACGACGAATAAACACATAGTGCGTACACATATACGGCCGATAAAAACATTGAACTCGACAAGCGGACCCGTGTTGAGAATGCGGAAGTTGCGTCTAGACTGATGATGAAGTACTCACCTGATGATGACCTCCTAGCAGGTTGAAACTAGTTGTGAAGACAACAATAATTGGATTGCAAGAATAAAGTATTTAAGCCACTATCATAGTTATTATTCGCAATCCGGAGGCTACTCACACCACAATGAAATTACTTATAACAATAAAGATGGGGAAATAGTCGTGTTTTGATTTATATGAGACTGGACATGGGGTTAAGAGATCCATAGACAAATTTCTTAACTTTGAAAATATAATACTTTACTCTATCAACTTTTGAATAAAAAAATTTAACAACCTTTAAAGTTAATTTAGCTTTGTTAAGTTAATCGGGTAAAATCCATGGACACAACATGAATCATCAAAAAAACATGTGACTTTATTTGAATATTTTATAAAACTTTCAAACGTAAAGAATATAGTTTATAACGACATGTAAATACACTCAAAGTGGTCCCAGTGAAGGTAAATACTAAAAATAAATACCACACTACCGTTGCCTCTATTTGTGAAGTAGCTACTTGAGTTTTGACTCATGGGAATGCTGAAGCTCCACCTGTGCAGAGCTCTCGCTTTGAACTTTCAATTACGCGGACATAGTTAATTGGCCGAACTGCCCCTTTGTTGACAGTACAGATTAATATTCGAGCACCAGGGGGGAGTGGTGTGGTTGGGGGGGGGGGGGGGTACTTTGAACACATCCCTGTGAGTGGTGACCACAGTTTCGCAATGACAATATTTTTATTACCGTAGATCTGATTCATCTCGAATTTTGAAAAATATGTTGTCTTTGTGGATTTTAAATGATAGCATACCTAAACGTTGCAAACAAAAAACCATTAGTTTTTAAGCCAATACACTTATCGTTTGCAAAAAAATCCATAAAAGGATTGACTATACACTCTGTGATAAAAGTAACATTGGAAATTTTGTCATTGCTACATCTTTTAAAACACACGTGGCAAAATAAAGCAACTCAAGAGATACTCGTATAATAATGTACAATATGGTTTAGTATGACATTGTTTTACACAATCCGGTGAGACTGGAGGGAGATACCAGCGACGTTAACACCTCTTACTGTCGTAAACTCCTTCACAACCTTCACGACATTAATTTTACTCTCTTGCACTTTACAAGAATTTAGAAGCGTTTTACATCCAGCAGTTTATAGCGTCTTTCAACTATTAAACAATGCCTAAGATAGGTTTCAGTGTGCTACGAGTTTGTTTTATGTTAATGGTTGGTTGTTTAAATATTCACATGAACATTCGAGTTGAATTCAACTTTTTAGAACCATGTTTATAGCTTAGTGATGTAAAACTTGTGAGGTCTGAACTTTGTAACAATTTTTACTGCCTTAAAAAATTAGGTTTCACTACGAAAACTATAAGACATTGTATTTGTTTCACATAACATATAAGAAACATTTTCAAAACACCACAACTGCAGAGTAAATTAAAGTTTTGTCTTATATTATTTTAGTAACATTCAATAACCTATCAATTAACTTTATAATAAAGTTTCGTTACAAAATGAATACAGTTAGGTTCGAGCAATAGAAATGTAGTATATTCATAATCCAACATTTGAGTATTTGTGACACTAATTCCACGATAAAGATACACATCTCATCGTGGCTTTCATTGATGTTATAAGCGGAACTGTTTATGCTATAACAACATTCAGTGCCATTATCAAACGCATTCTCAATCTAATAAATAGATGGTTTCCATATGTAACTAATTTCATCTTTTAATTAGACGAGATAAAAAATAATTTGTACTCATTACAATTTGCATTGAATCCGAGTACACGGGGATCTTTAGAGTAATTTAATCATACAAAAAATTTACTATTTCGTTTCTTTATTAGAATCTACAAGAAAGGGTCAAACTAAGGTTAGTTTGTATTGGATAAGTATGCTTTGTCAACAACATTAAATGAATGAATGAGTATGTTAAAGGCAAAAGAAATCTCTAAAGACGTGACGTCTAGCAATGTCAAAGAAATTCCAGCTATAAAATTGTCTCCTGGGAGGATCATAAACCTTCAAAGGGCGCGAGAGGGCTACAAGAATAATTTCCTACGTCAAAGCAGAGCGACTGGGCGGAGTCAGACGATCGTAAACACCTTCTGTGACACTCGTGCACTTGGCCCACGAATTGCCTTCCGTGTTGTTCACTTTACTGGCTCATATCCTTAGTTTATGGGCTCCAAACCTACTGTGGCCATTCTCCGGATTGATTTACACTCCTGAGACCTATATACATGATCTCTTGATGTTCAAAATATACATCATGAAATGTTCACTTCGCACAATATCCCATTCCCATATGATATATGCACGTGTGTGAGACGTTGTAACGACCCACGGCTGCGACCTTTTAAAAAATTCAGTAGTTTATTCAATTAGAGAAATCGTATCTTGTGGATATTATAACTAAACATGGGGGGTATTGTGTGTTCAAATTTGGAATCGGAGGTTAACGGTATTCACGGTATCTTATCGTAACAAATGTGACCCTTAAGTTTTGCTTGGGTGCTGAATCGATCATAAATAGCTTTAATCACGAAAAAAAACATAAAATATTTCGTATTTTGAACAATAACGCTAATCGTGTCTTGGACACGGTCGATATACTGTGTACATTCAGCACTCGACCGAAGTCCCTTCAAATCGAAATTAAACTATGATCCAAACAAAGGAGTAGTTTTCAAGATTTGTCCACTAACCTGCTATTTGCAGCGTCGCATTCCTACTTCTGGCCACTCCCGCCGAGTTCTTGGCCAAGCACCAGTAGACTCCCGCGTCGCTCTCCTTGCGACCGTTGATCACCCTCAGGAAGAACAGCGACCCCGCTGGCAGGAACACCCTGTTGGCCGACGGCCTCACTGGCTCGCCATCCTTGTACCACTCTATGGTGGGGCTCGGGTAGCCGTCGGCCTTGCAGTTGAGGGTCGCAGGGTCGTGGCGCGGCACGCTGGTGTCCACGGGGTGTTCAGAGATGCGGGGAGGTCGGTACTCGTCCCCTGCAACACCAACACATTGTCTCATCACATGAAATAGCTCCTATGCATGCTGGAATAATATATACTACCCTTTGAATCGGTATATAAGACTAATAAATTAAATGCTAATGTCACATTTCAAGACAAGGGTTAGTCATTTACTTACTCGTGTCAAATGTCCAATAATTTATACACGGTCCAAACATCTGCGGCTAAGTGTGGAATTATTCAGTCCAACGTCATTCACAAAGTTAAACCATTATTGTATTAATGTATCATGCAATATTGTTAGTTTTGTGCTTGGTTTCCCCTCTTATTAAGCATAAATTATCTGACACCAGAAGGGTTAGACTTTTGAATTGCAGTACTGTACTAACAATTATAAGTAATACCAAATTCTATAAACATCATTAACGTCTTTGAGACGAGGTTATGAAGTGAAAATTCACTTGAGACGATGGAAGGATGAGAATGAGTCGATAACTCTTGTCACTTTGAAGTCACTTGATAAAGCAATCAGCCTCACTCCTCACTCCTCGATGTGACTTGTTTGTTTAGGGGAGACTAGAGTGTGATATTTGCTTCGTCTCGTCAGATCACAAGCACCGCAGATTTGTCAAGTCAAACCTAATAATGGTAATAATAAAGGTAATGAGCCTGTTAAAATATTACTAAATTTTCGAGAAGTCAAGTATCGGTAGGTAAGAATAAAATTAATTCATTCGTGACGCTCACGTTGATACAAGCTGTTTTTTTTATGATGAAAATCATATCCCTTCAATACAAGTATCCAACATTCGTTTAACAGTAGCATTAGGTTTTAAGGTTCAGAGTCTAACAAGTTCATTGCTAATGCTTTTTTTTATAATCTTAGTTATAAAACCGGAAATCACGTTTACGATGAACATCGTGACATTTTAAAGGAATATATGGAAGTATACACAACAAACTACCAAGGCAAACTGCAGGCTCCACAACTAAAGCTGCAGCGAGCTGGGAAAGGTCCTTCGTGATGTTTTTAACGGAAATGAAATTTCAAATCCCATTTCCGGGGTGCAAATACGTTAGCTTCCGCTGATGGGGTTCGACGGGAGAGGGATATCAGCACGTCTCTAAACATAATATCGAATTAACATTTAGAAAATCCGGTAAGATTTGATTAAGGGGAAAGTATCAATTGTTTGCATTTACTCATAGAAAACATGTAAATATCTTTGAAATTATAATTTGTTTGTGTATTAATACTGAGGTTACTATGAGGTTATTTATATTTATCCTTTACAACGCTCCAAACATACGGTTAAAGTAAGCTTATATGAGAGGACTGTTTGACATACACGAATGCGCAAAGAGAAGTTTCAAATACCAAGTTATTTCAAATATTTGATCAAAATAACAACGAGAATTCTGGAAAAATTTGTATTGTTGGATGTGAGATATTTAAAAAATAATATTTCATTCGGGGAAAATATTTACGTCTGATTCTAGAGTTTTTTTTTTTAAATACTATTCAATACAGTTCGCCAATAAACTTGAATTACAAATAAAACGTGATGGTTTTGACTCAAATATTACGTTTTAAGACATTTTATTTGTTTTATCTGAGAACCTTTTTGTAGTATTAAAGCATTGTATCGTCCAATCCCGTGTGTTACTTCCTAATATAGATTAACAAAACGTTCTAGAGTTAAACCCTTAATATCAAGAGACACGTATGCCCAGGATTACTACAGACAGGATTAATACGAGTACAACTGTAATGTTATGTCATTTACTAATAAATCGAAAGTTTCTTTTTAAAGAATAAGAAAATACACAAAAGATTAGTTTACTCATGCAATTTACGACATGCAAAATTTACTTCACTTGCACAAAGTGTTCATTGATTTTTTTATGAATCCGAATCATTTTGGGTTATAGTTAGTTAAAATTATTAAAAATTTGAAAAAAGTTCAGTAATAGATTGTGTAAGATTAAAATCGATCTGTGCAGCTTGAAGAGCAACAAGCATGTGCCTGGGATGAACAAGAAAGAAATGCTGGACAGCAAGAAAATTTTAAGACGGACTTGGGATCTGAAATTGTTTTCGAGTATAAAAAATATTGTCGAGTTTTAATTATACTATATAATACTGTTTTCTGTTTAGAAAATAAATACACATTTCCCTAAAATCCGCATCCTGAGTTGTTTGTTGATTCTGAAACCTTTCAACTGTTGCAAACGCCACCAAATCAACTAAACTTGTCAACAAGTAACTTTAGTCTGTCTCACAACACAAACACAAGACTTACACTCTCGACCGTGTCACTCTGAATTTGATTCTTTATTTAGTCACAAGCTTTTCACCATAGTAGTGAGATGATATGTCAATATGGTTGGTATCTTGGTATTAAAATTGAACTACAGTTCAATGGTGATGCTAATTATCTACGTCACCACGTACAATGGTTCTAAGGATAAACGATCCATTAAACATAGCACGTTCCTCGTCCCTGCATGAAAATGTACACATTTCGCTACAATAAATACATATTTTAATGTTACATGTAAAAATAAAACAAATCTGTTATTATAGGAGTATGTGTTAATTAATTTTGCAACGTTTCTGCTTGATAAGAGCAGTATTATTGAAAATTCCTTTAATACCTTATATCCTTTACACCTCGCTATAAAATCAAAACTCTATTCATTTCGTCATTGTTTACGTTAAGACTATAAACTACCACCAAAAGGTTACTTTTTGATAGAATGAGATAATTTATAAATATTTGACACTTTAAAGTTAGCAGGAAAGATAATTCTGCTGGTTTTGACCCTGAGGTACTGGAGATGTGAGCGCTTCCCCAATATTTGGCCGCGCGCTTGTTTACTTAAATCCATGTTTCAGGCTGATTATTTACACAAACGATGTAATTACTAACTCAAACATACACTTCAGTTTCATATCTGTGTAACCATATTAGTTATATCTCAAATACTGATTCATATATATACATATATATATACTGGTTTGTGCTTTAGTTTGTTTATGTTTTAATAACTCGATATATGCTTCATCGTGTAGTATATAGGTCGTACACTAAACGACCCTTCAGTTATAGAATTTACGCAACACGTTATAATAGAATACTTACTTAATCGTGGATTGTTGGTATAGGCCTATTCAAATAGTCACGAAATATCTTACAGCCTTTCTATGTTTTAAATGAAAGACACCATGTTATGTAGTCTTAAAACCACTAAGCGTACATAAGGAGACTTAAAGCTCAACAGTGTGCATATTTTTTTAAAATTGTTATCAAACACATTAGTTTTTATCTTTGGATCTATTTACAATGGAGTTTTTATTATTGATCCTACACCGTTTTTTATTATGTTTCTACAAAATTTAATGGAGATCACCAAAATGACATTATCTACTCAAATCCTTTTACAGGTAATTGAGAAATTGATGTATTAAGTTTAAAAACATGGTTATTTTTGAAAAAAACTTAAAACAATTATTTGGGAAGCCAATTTTTAGACTTGGAACCTCTTATATGCATCATCACACTTCATTTACTTTGTTCTTACACCAAACAATTTTTGTCACACTTATTACCAATCACCCTGTATTGTATTACAACACTAAGCATTTTTTATGATAAAATATAAAGAAGCCCAAATGCCGATTGGCTTTGTGCTATCAATTAAAATGCTAACTACTGAACAGGTCGACATTAGAAAGTAACAAGCAAGGGTTTGGACCGTTCCCTTTCAAAACATTGGTAGGGATGACCAATTGACCAATAGCATGGATAGACACCGGGAAAAATATAAATAGCCTACTGAAAACCAATTGAATACAAAATGTTTAATTAACTATCGTAGCAAGAATTGTCTTTACAGTAGTATTTGAGATGTATTGCCACACTTTTCAATAGCAATGGGGTATCTTGTTTGGTACAAAACAAATCGACAGTGGTCTTCTTGTTTATACATTTTGAGTAATATGGACCTTCATATAGTATATAAAATAATACTAACCGTGTTTATAGCGTACGACGTACGTGTTAGGTGGAACTCGACGGCCAAAGGTATAACTCACGCTGTATATCACTTATACGAGACAACGATAGCGTGAGTACAATATGGGCCATATATTATAGCATTGTTGAGCAGGACTATAGACTCTCGGAAAACCAACACTATTGTAATAGCATGGCCGTGTTAAATATTCATTGTGGTTGTAATGAATAAGTACTAATATTCATCATCATTGGTCCTCTTATGTCATTTAATAAATAATGTAATTTACCTCTGGATATTTTATGAGGATTTTATATTTATTTCCTGTATGACGCTGTAGGGAATGGTTCACAACCTAGCAGAAATGACATCTTTTCAATGATGACCTTTTTTGGGGATTACTGTATAACAGTTATCCCAAGTTGGGGAAAACTGTCTGTTATAAGTTTATCCAAACACTAATTGCAAAGGTATGAATTACATTCTTTGATTTGCATGTTGAGTATATTTTTAACTGTTAAAATTTTTTATATTGTTGTGGTTAATTAATATAATCTATACATTTAACCATGGATAAAACATACGTGTGTTGCTTAGTCTATGATAAATAATAATGGGTTGCTTAAGTACCCAATGAATAATCGGGTTGGTGGACATGTTTAAAGTATAAAAATTGCATAAAAGAGTTTTCAAATGTTTACTGTAATATTCCGATGGTAACGGCAAAGGTCATCAGATGTAACGGTTGGTTAAACGACGAACTGTTATTTAGACATGCAAACATGCGATAGACATGTTCTCTTTCAGTGACTGCTGCGATCTTTGGCATTGCCATAGACATGGAATCTGTTGTACGAGTGTTTTACAATTGTAAAACTATATTATATTTCTTAGATAAGCAAGTTAAAGGGTAATGCAGAATCAAACCTCTTTCTCAAGTGACTTTAAACAGAGGATTATCGTTACCACATCCATACAACCAATATACACTGCTGCAGTAAAACTCTCGTGACTGACGACTGCAGTGGGCAAAGTCCACTATTCCCTTAAGCCGGCCGACCTGCTTGCAGTTATTTCAGTCAAAGTAACTAAGCAGGCTTGGTTAACGCTTGAATGTGTCTCGTCTGGCTAGCCGAGATTCAGATTCAGATTCAGATTCAGAAACACTTTATTCAAGATTTACATTTTACAAATATAAATGCAGAATGGCGTCAATAAATACAACTAATTCTATAAAATATTATAAAAATGCTCACTAAATGAGTAGTAACATTTGCTTAGTATAAATATTTTCAATTTCTTTTTAAATGTCTTAATATTATTAATTTCCCTTAAATCTTTAGGCAGAGCATAAAAAAACCTAGTACCTGCAGCAGTGGGTTTTTTATTATAAAACTCTAAATTATGCCTCTGGATGGCTGGGTAGTTCCGATGCCGAGTATTATAATTATGTGTCATTCCCAATTTTGGAAGTGTATGTGTATTCATTTCACTTTTTAGATTAATTATAGTTTTATAAATATATAATCCATACACTGTAAAGATATTTAATTTAGCAAAATACTGTTTTGCCGATTGGTTTTCTCCTAAGTTTAACATGATACGTATGGCTCTCTTTTGTCAAATTAATATACCATCTAAATTTTGAATGGTTGTTGCACCATATAATTCAATGCCGAATGCAATATGTGAGTTTATGTGAGCATAGTAAACCTTCAGTAAAACATTCAACGAGCAGAGTTTAGACAAGTTGTGCAGCATAAATAGACCTGAACAAATTTTACTTTTTAGTTTATCAATGTGGTACAACCAAGATAAATGTTGATCAATTATTAGTCCTAAGAATTTAGTTTGAGTCACTTGAGTTAAGTAATTGTTATCAATTTTTAAATGAGGTTTTAAAGGTTTTATTTTGGGCAGTTGAAAAATTTATGTAATTGGTTTTCTCTGAGTTAAGCAATAAGTTTTTGCAAGATAAATATTCATATATAGATTCAAGGCTACTATTGCCTATATATTCAATGTCATTTTTTGATCTACCAGAAACTATTAAATTTGCATCATCAGCATAGAGGCATAATTTACTATTTAAGTTTGTTAGAGCTGAAGGCAGGCCTTTTATATAACAGAGGAATAAAATTGGACCAAGAATAGACCCCTGAGGGACTCCATATTTGACTTGTTTTAGAGATGATTTGACTTTAAGTAATTGATTGAATTCTGTAATCGTATTCAGTTCAACATATTGCTGCCTGTTTTCTAAATATGATTTAACCCAATTTAGTGAATTACCAGTAATATTGAAATAAGTGTTTGATGTGAAACGCTATCAAAAGCTTTACTAAGGTCCATGAAAATTCCAACAGAATTGTCACCTCTATCAATGGCATCAATAATAGCTTCAACTAGATCAATACCCGCAGTTGTTACAGATTTTCCGAGCATTGCACGACTTGGAATTAAGATTAATGGCAATTCTTAATAGAGTACAAACAATACCCTCATTGCAACATTTATGCTACTCAACATGGACACAAATGATTATTGAACTATTATAATGAAATAAGAATTAAAATTAATTCAACGTTTGATGCTAAGCTAAAGATTACTTCTCCCCCAACGTCGCTGGACACAGGCTACGGTCCGTGTATTCACTGTGGACCCTCCCTTACTTCCCAAGGGTCGTGTGGGTCTTATTCAAGGATTCGGCCTTCCATTAAATGGAGCCTCAGTAAGTCATAAACAGAATATGGACATCGCAATTATAGAGATTAAAAGGAGCACTACATCACTCACTCCCCTACTTAAAGTTGAAAATGCAGTTAAATCTGGAACAATAAAATTGACTTTTTATATTTATAATTATTGTAATTTATAACTATTCGATTATTTATTTAGGTTCAAGTTGAAAGATTAGAGGATCCCTTGTAACCACGATAAACACTTATAAAAGCAGTTATACACACTCAATTAAGTGTTTTGTTTGTCTAGCAAGTGATAAATTACGAGACGTTTGGCGTATCAGGAAGGGTAGAAGAGTTTAGCACTTAAGATTCTACATAATTTACATTGGTAAAGTATAACTATTGATTCAACGGTACTTAGATTTGATCAAAACTGTATTTGGAATCTCGTGACAGATTCGCTAAACAATTTTACTGCGTGACAGTATTTTGAAATTTAGTATTAATAAGGAGTACATTCTTGATATAATACGAAAATTTGATAAGGTAACTTAATAATCACAATTTTGTTGAAATTGATTTATCCTAAAAAGATTCAGTGGAGGTGTTCAGTGGGTATATGATTATAGATGTGGGTGATACAAACATATTTTACATTGTATGTAGAACTAATATCATATATTTTACACAAGACTAAGCTTTAACACCGCCTGTGGGTTAGGGGGAGATTATTCAAAGTGGGCAACATACACAAAGTTTATAACTACCATTACACGACATTATTAAATCTGTTACGATATTATCCTGTACTACCAACTGTTGTTTGTAAACTTTTTATTTTATTTATATACAGGACAAATTTAATTTCAACTAACTGATACCGACACTATTTATATTTGTAATGGTGTCGATATTTTCGTGACTCTTAAGGACGTTTTGCAGTAAGTTCCTGATAAACTTACAACTTGACTTCTGCTTGGTTGTGGTTCGAGTCATATAAACCTGCATATCCTAAACGATTGTAAAGGAAACCCAAATAACTATTAAGGCTCAATGTTTGCTGGTTTAAATGGTTATATTCGCATTTTAACAATTTAATATATCTATTCCTATTTTACCTAACTTTTAAAACGTTTAGAATTACCAAAAATCACATCACAATTAGCACATTCAAACACCATTAAGAATAGTAACTGCGTTAGCAGGTATACCATCGATACAATTAGTCGATCTACTACAGAAACGTTAAGTACTCAAATACTAAAAGTTGTTTACTACTGTGTTTTAATGTTTTACTACCTATGACATTGGTAGTAAAATCAATAGTTCTGTACCCATCTTTAACTGATTTATTTTAACATTTTCATATAAAGACACAAAAAATAGCTTAGGGCCTACTGCATTACTTGTTTCATAAAAAATGGTATTTAATTTTTCTTGTCTATGCTTGTTTTCTACCCAATAGTGTTCTAGTTGTATCAATTTGTAACGCTGGTTTCCGTGCATACGGATAGTACCAGCATGAGGAAAGATAGGATTTCTTAATCAAATACAGTTCAATTTTCATAAGGGTTTAATTTAATTAAGTATCCATTATGTTTCCAACTCAACGATGTATCAAATACTCAGACGTACTGCACTGAAATTAATTATTCAGTTTTGAGCAGTTGCTGGAAGGCTTAAGCCAGAATGTAATCCCTCCGGCTGCCAAGCCACTGAGATGTGAGCGCTTCTCTAATATTTGCCCGCGTGTGTTGTTTGCTTCAACCTTTGTTTGAAGCTTAGTACAATATTTAATTTGCTAATGTAATTACCAACACATAGACACGTTGGTTTTGGGACATTCTGCAGACCTTTAGATTGAAGTTAGTAATGTTTAGAGTGCATTTGGTCATGACTGTTACACTTTTTAATTTGATGCTTAATCTTAGAGTGTCATGCAAAACAGTTATAAATTATGTAACTTAGTTATAAATGTAAAATAATATAACACTTTGCTTCACGGTTAAGAAATATTAATTTGTTTGTTTGTGTAAATTGATATGTTTATATTAATGTCATTTTTTAATATAATAATAAGACTTTTTACGTAAACCTAAAATTGATAGTAATATTTATATCACAAATTTCAGGCTCTCTATGATCATAGCAAAAAGTTTACACGCCGTCATACAAAATTCCAAACGTGCTTTCAGAACGATAATCGATCACTCAATGCGTGTGTAAAGTTTATTCTTCTTATAGTTTACGATAGAATATAGAACATTTGCATTCACGGTCTTCGTGAGAAAACTCAATTCTACATCACATTTCTGTCACATAAAGTGAGAATCTTACGCCACGTTTTGTCAATATAACACTCAGAGCTTGAGTAAAGATTGCATGGCTGTGTATGGGGAATATTACTCAATGTCTCATCCTATGTTTATTGTCACATGTATCACCTTCATCGTTCCTAGTGATATTTTATACTTATTTACCCTTATGTTACATCGATGTTAAACGTGATCAGTCTATTATGTTAGTTACACACCTAAACATTGCTTTTACAATGTAGTTAAGAGGTAAACTTAACATTATATTGGTTCATAATTCAATATAATAACGCAGTGTTAATTAAATACACAGAATAGTCTAGTACCATATCTAATAATTTTTAACAGTTAGAATCAGGTGAAATCATCTGACATTTTTATAATACTAAAGTTAGTTTTTTATGTTGAAGAATAACATTTGGAAACCACTTTTTATCGCTTATTTAGGGGATCAATGTTGAAGCAAGGTGATCAAGGCTGAGAGTATAGTCCGATTTAAAAAAGAAAGTATTACAATTAAATGTTTTTTCCCAAACAATATGAACATTAAAATTGTTCAAATTGTTCATATAGGACAAGTTATACCTATTTTTAGGCCTTAACTCAAAAGACAAAACTATTTGTCTCCATCCAAACATTATATTTATAAAATCCCATAAAAGTGTAATTTTAAATTTATATTTAAGACGTATCAGGACAGGATTGTAAGTATACAACAAAGTTGAGCCAAGGCGGTTGGGGATAAGCTAGTTAACCTTGGGGCGTACCTCGCCAAGATGTATCAATCTGGCTGATTACATTTCGTGATGTATCGGTGTTAAGAGACGCCATCAAGGGAGGGCGAGAGCCCGGGGCTGTCTGTGATGACGAGATGTTACAATGAGGAGCCTACACACTTCTCCGGAGCCATCAATACCTGCAACTCGTTGTCAGGTTTAGGCTTTCATATAATAACTCGCGGTTTACTAAGTGACATAATTTTTGTTCCATTATAACTGTTATTGTTTTTATATCTCATGAGTTTTGATTTTTCAGCATGACATTTATTGAGTTTTATTCCTGTTTATAATTATTTCTAGTAGTAGAATTCAGTCCCAGGCATTGGCATGGATGTTATGCTTAACATGAGAATTGTCTCATGTTAAGCGAGATGCAATTATATCTGCTGGGGAATAGATTTTCATATGCTCCTGATATTATATATATTTCGTGATATTTACAGCTAACCGAAAGCATTGATTATTAAATAACCGTAAAGTTAACAATTTTCACAATAAACTTGAATTTTTAGCGAAGGTACTCCAAACGAGATAAGTTTCTGCACGTGATGGATCACTAGGTATTGATTGATCACGAGGTTTCTTAAACAGCGTGTAAAAAATCTTATTTCCCTTTATCATTACGAAGAAATACAATTAAGAAAGAAATACAAGGTTTGTTAGAAATATAACAATAATTTAGTTACTGGAACTACAAATGTTAAGATGCTAACATGAACACACAAAGTAATGCATTTAGGACAAAAGAGGATACAATTCTTGATCTATTGTTGTTCATGGGACGTTTTATTAATAATATTACACACACATTGTATCAGGACCAATTTAAAAATTTTTTTTAAAGCTTACTGATCCCGTTATATCCAACCATGGCTTACAGATTAGTAATACCATCTAATTATTACAAAGTAATACAAATTATCTAAGTATTACAAATTGGTAATATGTATTTCCATTATTTTACTCGAACACGTAGCATATGAGTTAGTAGAGTGATGCTTTTGACAGTCTACGTGAGCTACTGAATATACTGTAGTAGTAACGAATTGGTAAGAACCGTGATTTCAATCCCGTGACCATTCTTAGCCTAGTGATCCATCACGTGCAGAAACTTATCTCTTTGTAGTACCTTTGATAAAAAGATAAAGTGTATTGCGAAAATTGTCCGAAACTGTAACAATTGGAGCTTAAGGCGTTGGTTGTATGACATTTTTTGTTGGTTCAGAAATATTTTTTAGTATTATAAAACTAACTTCTAAGTGTGGAGTTAACTAATCTAAAGTCTTTTAAATCTTTAGAGCCGTTTCGCAGGAGGGCCGTAACTTAAGGTAAAGGACCATTGTCTTGAGATGCGGGTCTGGGGACTCCTTCCAGATTTACTGCAAATAGAACCCGGAACTTCTCCCTGTGAACCTGGGTAATACTAACTCGAGCCTGGGGTTAATCCGTCAGATGATTTGATTATAAGTGGAAACAGTTCTTTCATTGACTTTGTACAAGATTATCTGCAATTCATTCAATTTATCAAAAACTCTTTCAACCAAGTTTAGTACTTCTTTGAGTTGTTAGCGAATAACATAGGTCGTTTTTTTTAATGTTGTATATTATTGTGACAATGTGACGTACTGTATGTATAGTTCTCAGTTAATTACAAGAACAACTATTGAAATAAATCATAGTCGCAGGCGTAAGACTGAGTTTTCTCAAAAGTAAGTCTTAATGTAGTTTCCAACAATGGTTGTATCTTCGATTACAATCCTATTAATAATAAATAGAGTTAAAAATAATAGAAAAAGAGGGCTGAATTTTAAAATCTTTTAGAGATGTTAGCCATACATTGGAGGGGTTTAATATAAAAAAAAACTTAATTGTATTTTGTAAATAAATTATTTATATAATAGTATTGCCATTTTTATATTCCAGGGTTATATACATACAAGTCATAAGCTTAACATGTTGCCTAATTGAATTGTACCAATGCATTGGTACTGTTAATCGTTTTCAAAAATCTTATTCTGAGAATAAATTAAATGAGGGTATAAGAGGCTTAACACGCATTTAAAACTAACACCTACAAACCTAAGTGTGGCTAATAGTCTTTATTTTCTCATTATAGGCTATTTAGTGTCAACGAGATCTATAAATAATGTTTTGAATAGGTACATTGTACTCTAAATCTATTCTAATCGACGTTTTTGTTTTTCTTGTGACGGAGGAATAAAAATAATTCTCCACTTGCTTGGATTGACTAAGACACGTGCAAGAAGATTCGTACATTAAGATGAAGAATGACTCTTGTCACTTGAAGTGACTCGATAAAGCAATTAACCACACTCAACGACGTCGCTTATTTGTATATCAGGGGAGGGGTGGAGGGGTGGAGGGGTGGAGGGGTGGAGGGGGGATCACTCCCTTGCAACGTAGACACACGAACTTTTTTTTATTTATTTAATTTTCCTTTAAAACTATAATTACTTTAATTTAAATACAAAGCTTCAGTACGTTAAACAACAATTAACAATAAACTACATATTGAAAGTTATAGACATTTTTGGCAATGCATTGTGATTATTGCAGGGACTACGATGAGAGAGAAGAGTAAAGGTGCTGGTAGTATTCAGAGTAATGACAAGATGTTGGAGCAAGGCATCTCGTGTATTATTGTAAGGCTCTCTCGCGAAGCAATCTCGGCACAAAATATTTTCTCTGGATATATTTAGTTTAAAAAATGCAAAATAACGCAACTAGCTATGCAATACTTAAATTTAGGAAAACGATATTGATAAGAGCTAAAATACCTAATTTGAATCTAGTTTAGTTTAAATTTACTGAAAACAATACTATTAAAATACAACACAAATATGAAATGCAGAGCAAACAAACATCAAATATATTAAAATGATAGAATTGGTAGACATTTTAAATCAGGTTTGTATGTAAATTAGTCTTTCATCAATACGTCCATCCTAAGATTTTTTTTATGTGTGTAATAATAAACATGTTTTACTAAATATTTGTTGATAGTGAATATTTTTTTCTCATATTACGTTAAGGTTATGCTCACACATTCTAAAATTATGTTGAAATGTTAAAGGTTAAAATAAAAATTCCGTTTTAATTAATTAGTGATGACGTTTTAATATACTGTACTTATAAAAATACAATTTATGCTTCAGAATGGTTTAGACAAAATTATGAACTAATAAAGGCCCAAAGACCTTTAAATACAAATCTCACAGATATCTGTCCATAGAATGTGAGTAAGTGGGTGAACTTAACTGTGCATAAGCTATCCTGGATATGCTTCTATCCATCCTAGCACTCTGGTCTGAAGCATGGTGCAGTACCGAATGGCTATAGATCATAGGACTGTCATACAGGGCTGTGTGGGTATTTCGATTATGCAATTTATGTCACCAATTAATTCATACATATACTTCTGGCCATGTGTACAACAGTATTTCTTATACTCAAAACCAATTTAAAACATGCATGTGATATATGCAAACTATTTTTGAGATCCAACCTCGGAATATGAAATACAAACCTCCGACTAATGCAGACCTACCTGAAGACTACGAGATTAGCTCAATAACCTAGGCAGACAGCTTGGCAAGCAACAGATGCTTCTGACAGCGACTCCGTATTATAAAGGCTCCTTTGTTCCTAATATTAAATAATTTTCAACTTCAAAAGAACTGTCTGACTTCATTTCAAGAGATTTTAAATATTATTTTTCAATACTTAATTTGCTCATAAGCCGTAATCTATATGCCCCAAACGTTATTCCAAACATAATTCAACTATAGGATTTTAATACCATAAAACATTAAACTTATACTATTGTGCTATACTTCATTATTGAATCAGTTTTGAAATTATATTCATAGTAAATCCTAATATTTTCATTAATAGAGTGTATCCGAAATAAACTACAGCTAATATATCCTATAAGATTAGCAATTGCAAAACAATATTGATAAAGAAATCTAGCTAACATCTATTTGCGTTTAAAATTATTAAATTTAATCATTCGTCTGAAGCAGTTAGATAAATATGTGAAATATTTTAACGTTGACTCAATACGTTTTATAGTTATAATGTAAACTCAATGAGACTAATGGTTCACGCTTGTGTTGTCTTGATGTAATTAATTACACAGCTGACGACACCTGCGGGCTAGCGGCTAGAGGGAAGATTCAGTTCATCATGCACAAAGTTTCACCATAACAATAACTTAATCGGTCGAGCGATATTGTTGGTTTTTGTGCTCAGCTTCACCCTCGGTGTTTGCGGAACAGATTAATCAGAGTTGGGGGAAGGGATGTCTTGTGATAATAAAAACAGAAGGTTACAAAAGTTTGTCAAAAGTTCAGGCCAAGGTTCTAGCAGTAAGCTTAGAAGATTTTCACAATAAAAAATAAGTTTTAAATGTAGTATTCCTACAGCCACCCGACAAAGTTGGCTTCCTTGTACTGTTTATAGTACAGAAAGCTGCCAATTGCTGCATATTTATACTTTGTCGTACGGTTTATACTTTGCCGCACATCAGGATTCCAACGAAACAACACAAAACAGCGTGGTTCTATTATGCACGCAATCCGTGTACGCTTGGAAATAGGTTGGCAACACTTAAAGATAATAATACTATGAGCAGCTGATTGACTATTATAACTACGATTTAACCTGTCATTTCGTGTTTATAGTTTCGGTATTTCTGAACTTTCTGGACTTTTGTTTTAAACGTTTTTAAACATTCATACGATCTTAATAAACAAGAAAATACCTTTAAAGCATTTTTTAGGCGCGAAAACCACTTCAAATTACAAAAACATACCGAACTGTATTCTCAAGTCGCGGAGCACATTTATTGCCGAGGAAAAATAGCGGAGTGACACGGACCGGGTACTACTTTCTCTAGGGCACCTATTTGTTTTGCCAGCTGAACCTAAAAACGTGTTGTATAAAGTTTGAAAGACTAATTATTTTTCCTACAGTCACCCGACAAAGTTGGCTTCCTTGTACTGTTTATAGTACAGAAAGCTGCTAATTGCTGCATATTTATACTTTGCCGTACGGTTTATACTTTGCCGTACGGTTTATACTTTGCCGCACATCAGGATTCCAACGAAACAACACAAAACAGCGTGGTTCCATTATGCACGTAATCCGTGTACGCTTGGAAATAGGTTGGCAACACTTAAAGATAATTATACTATGAGCAGCTGATTGACTATTAAAACTACGATTTAACCTGTCATTTCGAGTTTATAGTTTCGGTATTTCTGAACTTTCTGGACTTTTCTTTTAAACGTTTTTAAAACCTTCCTACGATCTTAATAAACAAGAAAATACATTTTAGCCATTTTTTTTAGGCGCGGAAACCACTTCAAATTACAAAAACATACGGAACTATATTCTCAAAACGCGGAGCACATTTCTTGCCGAGGAAAAATAGCGGAGTGATATGGACCGCGGGTACTACTTTCTCTAGGGCACCAGCTGTGCCCTAGAGAAACAGGCAGGATTTTGTGTCAGGGTGTTGCCAGCTGAACCTAAAAACGTGTTGCATAGTGTTTGAAAGACTAATTATTTATATGCTTTATAGTGACTGTAGGAAAAATATAATGTGTAACACGAGTGCAAAAGGCCTTTGCTACACTCGAGATTATTCCGCACTCGCCTGTGGCTCGTGCATTGCTTTCGTGTGCAGCAAAGTGCCACTTTGCCCACTAGTTACTCAAATAACTATTTCAAACGGAAATGTGGAAATGAGGTTGGTGTTTTTAAAAACATAATACACCTATAAAAATTAAAACATGTTTCGGAGTTGTTTAGATTGTTTATTGTTAGTAAACAATAAACTTGAAAAAGTATTTGTTTTTAGACTATTTCGAATGTTGTGATGTTAGTTATTCGCCCTCTTTGGTGTTAAACCAATAAAATATAGTAATTTATCATGTATAAAAACTACGTTCTACTAACTGGCTAATTATTACCATACTCTAAAGTAGAAACTGCGTATATTGAATGCGGTATAATATGATAGAGCGGTCAAGTGATGATGGAAAAGAGATGTCGTCACTTGGACGTCAACAATCAGTTACTCTCGATGACGTCACTTGTTTGTCTTGAAGCTAAGAGACAGTTAAGTGGAGGAGTGAATGAGGTATGATATTTGCACTGGCTGATTGGAAGATGGTCATGATAGCCTATGTCCATTTTGCTTGTCTTTACGTGACATTTTAGTATAAAAATTCTTTGCCTAGGTGGTGAAAAAAACCTTGGGAGCTTTTACATTTCAATTTATTTTAGAAAAAATTCTATATGTTCTAAATTTTGTAAATAAAAACTAAAATAAACTGAACTTAACTGTTGTAATTACTTGGTATTTAAGTGGTGCATGCATTCATAAATCATTTGCCTCTTTATTGGGAATCATTGAAACTCTTGAAAAGTATTCTGATTTAGACGTTTTTACCCATTTAAGACTCTGAAACAAAAAGAATAACAAACTGCAGACCAGCGACTCAGAACACAAACACTAAAACCCCTCTCAAGACCGCGCCCGCCTTCATCTCCCCGTCAACCAAACAACTTTAACAGTCAAGTGCAGAAACTTTACTCCTTAAATGCTACAACAATAACTTGAAAATTCCGCTTAGGAGCCAAACTGATCTCATCAAATGATCAAGAGGTCATTTGGTGCTAGTCTAATGGGTTATAAGAGGTTTTAGTGATTTAAACACAATTTATTAAGTACTTAATTACTTTACTAAGTATTAAACCGTGTCATTTTATAATATTGAATAGTTTATCTTCAGTTCTAAAGATAATTTGAAAGTAAGGGAAAACAGGTTCAGAGTTCAGGCATAAGAGTATAGTTACATTGATCCCAATGTGAAATTAATCAAGATCAGATTCATTACTTCGTAGAATATAATGTTAAGCAGTACTTTTAGAGGAGAGTTAGAGCAAGCGATAGAGAGAGGGTGACGTTTGGCCTGAAGCATTCAGTGACGGAATGCTGGAGCGAGGCATCTTGTTTATTATTGTAAAGCCTTTTCATACTTTCCTGCTTCATTTGCTAAGTAAATATTTTAAATTTGTTTATAATTTCAGCTTTCCTTATTTTTATCTGTAACAAATTCAGTACATAAGTTTCAAAGACAATGTAGTGAATTACCTTTTCCAATAATTGTGAACAGTTTTGTTAATGTTTTTTCGACATACAGTGAGAAAAAGGCAATTTTAAACATGAGTTGTGGGGCTGAAGTAGCTTTTTCTTCATTTAAGCAATAAAAGTAAGCTATAATCGAGGACATCACTGCAAATTTGTATAGTAGTTACAACCATCCGCTGATTTAGCCGAAAAATACTTCCGATTGTAGCATGTGTTATCTTGTCGTTATAAACTCTAGTGTATGTTATCATCGTGTTATGTTGGAATGGTTTCAGCAATAAAAAATAAACTTATTTCATGGTGAAGTAATAGATATTGCAACAAGTAACGGCAAAAGCTGTTTGTACGAATTAGCTAAAACAAAAAGGTACCATTTTGGGAGCTAATTTATACAAAATAATGTACACAATTTACTTTTTTGAAATATTTTTCTTTAAGAATGGTTCAGTAAAACGAAAAATATTGTTTATCTCACGGACG